CACTATTGTCAACATGAAAATTGAAATCTCCTGTAATAATTAGTGATTCACTACACAATATAAGAGATTCCAAATAATCAGAAAATTCATATAGAAAAGTTGCAACCCCAACCTGATGAGAAACTGAATAAGGTGGGCGATATACAACAGCCAACCCCAAAGTCTGTGATGCAGACTTAATCAGCCACTCAGAGGATTCAAACGACTGATATTCTCTGCCTGACTGTTTAGTGACTTGAAGAGTTTCATGGGCCAGAAGTGCTGTGCCACCACCTGTTCGTCCAGTGTGAGGAACATCGAAGAACTTAAAGCCGATAGGTGTTTCTTGAATACGATGAGCATCATCCATGACTCTCAACCATGTCTCAGTTAATGCAAAGAAATCAGCCCGACTCGAACAGACAAAATCCAACCAGTCAGAAGTTTTGTTTTTGAGAGACCTGACATTTAAAGAACACATTCTCAAGTGTTGACGACAGGTTTGTGCACTGACAGGTCTGACATGTCTTAGCACAGGAACATCCACAATAGCAAGAGAGTGGGTCTCAGAATATTTGATGATTTTTTAATGTTGCCGATGTCGGTGGCTTACAATGACAGGTATTGCCTGTGGATATTGCTGGCAAGCAACGTTTACTACTGTTCTCATCCTAGGCATACAATGTAGTTGTACATACTGTATGACGAGTGATGGCAGAAGCTGTACTTCTTGAGGTTATTTGGACAGGGAGGGAAGTGATGTTAGTCAGCTCAGGTGCAGCTGGCAACCACGGCGTAGCTGAGTGCCACCCCTTTTCCCCCTCGGCCATCTTGCAATTCGTCTTAAAGTTTCACATGGCAGTGCCAACTTAATCCTCAGACCGAGTAGCTGTGAGGCAGAGTAGCACAAACGTGGGCTCTGAAGTTGGGCATGAAAGTGGGAACGGTCAGCTGCTTCACTCCCCGCAGACAAAACGTTATTTGTCAGAGGATGGACCAGGGTTCAGGGAGATATTCATATTGATTGTGATGTCAATGGCTGGATGGTGGTAAGGCACATACAAACATGTTGAGCCATGCTTAAACCACTTCACATGATTCAACTTCGACCGCCATGTGCAGTGTGAAATGGGCAGCCTGGGACTTGACTCACCATGAATACATGTAATTGCTGAATAAGTCAAGGAGGGCAACACATGACGGCAGAGTTCACAGCAAGGTGAGCCAAATGTTGGATTGCCAGCATACGTCCACCGAAGAATGCTGAGCAGTAAAAATATCTTTAAACAATTGAAAGAAATCTTCCCGCATTCCATTGTGTCAGAAAAAGAGGATCGACTGCTATAGCTGTGCAGATCTCACAATGTGTGACAACTGTCAGTCAACAAACTGATAAAAACCCATCAAAAGTCAGTAACATTACATCAACGATCACAAGACGAAGACATACACATTAAAAAAACTACAGCAGATGTGGAACATCATCGGATGACAACAGACTAAAAATGAAAAATCAGACTGATAAAAACTACAGAGTGAAGAGCAGAAAACGAAACGGTGCTGCCGCAGTGAAGGGCGCCCTCATGCTCCTTCTCATCCTAGGCATTGAATTAAGAGACACTTTAAATGCACCTGTTTGTTTAATTATCCATTCATCATTTAAAAAGAACTTTTGTGGATGTGTACAAATGTAGATCCCACAAAATAAGCCCTTAGGCCAAATTTTTATTCTATTTTAACAATTTGCAGTAGAAAGAGTGAAGGGAGTTCTTTGTTTCAAGACATATTGCTTACATGTACATGCAGGTTAGCATGCCAATTTCACCTGTACATGTAAAAATATGGAGGGTTACTCCATGCTGTGCTGATATCTTTTAATTTTGAAAGCTGTTAGAGTATACAGGTACATGTACAGTTTCTACTCAAAAGTTGCTCTGACAACTTATAACTCTTTTGTCAGGTTGGGTCATACATATGTATGTACGTGTAAATGACACATGGCTAGTTCCACCTTGGATAATGTACATGTACCGGGTACATTGTACACATGTACATGTACATACATCGTGTGTGCATATCTACTGTACATGTAACCAGCACGTACATGTATGTTTCACCACTTCCACTTAGTGTGTGTGCAGGCGCTAACATTCAGGAAAGTTGAGGTTACTTTCTGTTGCTTGTTAAAATGGCAACACCAGCCAGCAAACAACTATACAAAAATCCATTTGAGGAGATCTTCTGCCTTGTGTAAGAGTTTGCTGAATTTATACCACAGAAATATAATCAGTCTTCAGATTTCACTTTGTGATGGGTTTCTTGTTAATAATACAGTAAGTGACATTTCGGAGAAAATGGGGTGAAAGATGTCTGTGTATGTTATAGTTTCCGAACGTAAAAAAGGGTATTTAAAAATTTTAAATTATTCTCCAGTTTTTCCACACATTCTGCATATCTTAGTAATTGAAACAGTGTTTGAAAAAGGATACCATGTTATGTTTAAGCTATTGCGAATTGTCCTTTGTTAGTTTTATCCATTTCAACGTTGGCTCTCTGTCAACTGGTGGTCAGCCGTGATTTATATGTACACATACATACATGTAGATGTACATGTACATGTACAGGTACTCTATCAACGCACGTATACATGTACATGCACTACTACATGTGTACCCATGTATGGACAAATGATTTTCATGCAAAATAATCAATTCGCAATAACTTGAAAAAACTACCAATATTTTTATTGGGTCTCCAAATACACGCAGCACTTTATTTTGTTTGTTTGTGTCCTGGAGAAGTGGTTTTAATATGGGCAAGACCATGGACATATTTTCATTAAAATCTGATTTATTATAGTCTTATTTTTTTCTAAAATCACTTTTTCAGAATTTGTTTCAAAGTTTGTGCAACTAGGTTCATACGGCTGGTATAATGTTGTCTAATCAATTTCTTATTATCAGGTTATCCCCATGAACTTTGTATTTTGATAAAAATAACTTATGGTCTCCGTCTGCGGCAAGAAGTGTCGGAGTGGTGTCCCATGTCGCCTGCCTCAAAATCCACAGTAAAGTGATCCACAGTAAAGTGATCACGTCATTTGAGTACATATGCACTAACTCTCAACTAAGTGGTGCACAAAGGCACGGGAGTGAACATACATTTTAAGTGCCAGATTTGTCAAAAGGTACAAGTTTTCATACGGTACATTTACAGTGAACATACAGATGAAAAATGTACCGATGCACTAGCACAAACTTGATTCCTCCAGCAGTCAGCTCTATTGATGGCTGACTCAGGAAATGAACTTTATTGACTGCTTTTTTCCCAGAGGGTCAATATGAGACACTGCCTTCCTGCATTCCATATTGTGTGTCCAACCCCATGCATGTATGTACATTTGTACACTGTACTATGATGTATTTGTGCAGTTTGGCACATAAATGTACAATGTACCAGTACATGTACATGTATAGGCAATTCTGGTATCCCTAATCCTTTGTGTGTCAAGCTGTATTTTCTCTGCAAACAGCCTCTGAGCATCTAAGCAAATGCACCAATAAAGTACATGTAGTTGTAATTGATAACCATGCAATAAATCCATGACTTGGGTAATTTAGGACTCACTTGATACCACTTATATCAGCGACCCTCAAATCAGGCCAATACATGTACCTATTGGTATTCAACCTGATCAGAGATGTCAAATGACACCCATTAACAGGCTTGAGCTTACACACAGGTGCATGTACTAGTGTGCACAGGTACATGTACATGTAGGAACCAACCTTGACAGCTAGCCTGTGTCTTTGCACCATACAAATGTCAGTTCTGTCGATGTGAATGTGCACTGTAAGCAACAGATGTTGTGACTCAGGGCAATTTATCCATTTTGCAAACCACACCCTATTCAACATTCCTCCAAGGCACATGAGGCAGGAACTGTTGTAAACATGCACAATGTACAGTGTGTAATACAACATTCAGTGATTGTCTGCACTTCCAACCGATTGAAACACTGAAGCTGTTGAACAGTAATTTTTGCTGGCAGTTACGAATATGGAACATAAAAATCATCCAAACAATCTACCAAGTGTGGGTGGATTTGAGTTCATTGTGTCTGTGGTTTAATCCCAACTTTCCTGCTAAACTGATCATGAAGGCATTTTTCCTGAATTCCTAAACTCTCTTGTTTCCATCCTCCCTCAATTAATACACAGATCCAATTTATTTGCTTTTATTGGCAAAGATTTGTGCAGATGCCAACGCCACCCCCCTGAAGGGAAAGTACAATTACGTACGACTGAATATTACCCTCCAAAACTTGTTCTGTATTTGAAAACACACTTTGTGTTTGCGTCTTGTTGCTGAGAATTTCCGTTGATCTGATGACAGGTGAGGTGATAGTAATTATGGCAGGTGAGGTGATAGTAATTATCTTTTAACGGCACAGGGCAGAGAAGTTTGCCGAGAAACGGACAGCACAAAAATGCTTGCCATTTGGTGGTAACTTGTTGCAAACATGGGTACTCGCTTCCAGTAAAACTCACGTCAGTGCTGGTGTCAGCCTTGTCGTAAGTCCTTGCAAGTCCACCACAGGTCCCACACAAGCTGCGCAGTCACAAGCCAAGTCACAAACCATTCAAATGAACTTTGACAAGAGTATTCCTTTATCATTGTTCATACTGTTAACTGGGTCATTCCATGACTTTAGGGCACAATTTGTGACTGGGTCCTTGTTACATCGGAAACTTTTTACCACCTGTCATGACCTGTAGAGTACATGTACACTGTACATGTAGGTCATTTACTCTGTAAGAATAACACACACCTATGTACACCGTCACAACTGTCCCTCAAAATCATGGAATGACCCAACTATGATCTGTCTTCTGTTGGGCGGACGTGTGATTGGACTTGTGAAAGGACTTCTCACAGACACACTCACAACACTGCCACATGCATCCAGACCATGGCTTAATTAAATCATGAAGACAAACGGAATAAGGCCAGTTTCTCACCAGCATCTTCTCCAGGGCTGCATCCACCTCCGTGTCCGTCAGGCTCTGCTGGATACGTTCATACTCCTGATTGACCTCCTCCTCTTCCACCGACGGGCGGGCCTGGAGGCGCTGCTCCTTCTTGTTGGCCGCTTCCGCCTTCTTGGAAGGCTTGGCCGAGATGCGGATGCCTCCAAACTGTGGGCCAAAAGTGAGGGAGAGGTTTACTTGCATGAGGCAATGTCAGTGAGTACCACAGGCGAACCCCAGAGACTGGTCCAATGTTTGTAAGACCTGGTTCCCTCCTCATGGGCTGGCTTCCTGCTTCTTTGTCAATGAGACGAGCACGGCATAGATGTACATGTACATGCACCAGTGCCCATAAAGTTCAGGCTGTGTACAGGAATCATCAGAAGTACAATGTACTTGCACTGTGTAACTTGCACTGAACACTTACAACAGCTACATGTAAGTATACTTGTGTACTAGAGTGCACATAAATGGACTAACAGATCTTGTGTTATGAAACAATGCCATCTTACCATGAAATCCATGAATTCCATCATCTTACATGTACACATGCACCATGCTTGTCAGGTGGCTGCAGGCTTAATGCACTGCAAATTCACAAATTGCCAGCCCTATGAGTAATGCCCACGCGGTGTCTCTAGCCTTCTACCTGTACGTGTAGTCATCATGTCCTTGATCCTACATGTAATCCCTGATAGGCACCTGCCAATTGTTTGTCGAAGGCTTCCGTTAAAAATTAAACTAAATTAGGTCAAGATCCTTGATTGGCACAGCAGCGGAATGGAATGTCAGACAGGCCATGTGTTTCAACAATCAACCTTCAAAAGAAAACAAACACTGTGTCAGTGGAGGAAGAATATCATTTAAAACCACAGGTCCAAGTTCATTAATCTCAGACTTCTTTTCACATAAACTGCAAAGCCATTTTTGCTTTGGTAAGAGCACTCATATCTTCAGAAAATTCAAGGTTTCTTGATCCCTGCTAATGTAGGGCTATACGTACATGTACATCGTTTTTTGTAAAGTACATACATGTTTGTTTCAAAGGAGCCTCAACACAGAGACCAGTGTCCTTCATGTACATGTAAGAGCTGCTTAAAAATAAACCCTGTCTTGAGAAATATTCTTTTGCCCACTAAACCAGTCACGAAAGTTTTGTTGATGACACACATTTAGATATCAGAGGACTGCAGTGTTCTCCACAGCCTTAAATTATAGCAGGGCGGCAGGCAATGAGAGTGTGAAGCTCGAAGCCAATACGCTTACGGCATGGGGTCCAGGGCCCGCTTAGCAGCCCTGGGAAAGTTTGGATTCTAGATATTCTGTGGGGCAATCTAAGGCATTTCCTGGGCACTTTCTTTTGACTCCTTCAATCAAATTGGCTCATGGTAACAATTTTAAATGAAGGCAAGATTGTTATCAGGAGGTCATCAAAAGTTTACTTTTTCTGGGGCATTTTCTTTTTTTTTACTGTTGACGAACCTGTTATGTCACTGTACATGTACGTGTACGCTTCTGTTACACCCATGTACGTATGCAGGGTACCGTAGCTGAGTTTGCAATGTATGTACTTGAACTTAATGCGTGATCTGAAACTACCTGCACTAAAAAATATGCATTCAGTTTTCAGCCAATCTATAAAAATTGAAACTCTTAAAGTCCGTTTGATCAAACAGACATTAGATGCATAAGTTTATAGCCCTAACAGTCACGCATATCATTTGGCTTACAGTACTAAGTACTACAAAATACTAGGTACATAGTAGTCTGAGCCCGAAGGACCCACACATGTATAGCGCTACAAATCACTACTTCTGGCTAGGGCACCCTCCGTTGTTACTTGTACAGAGAATAATAAAGTCGAGCATTCAAAGTGCCATAGTACTGTATGGTACACTGTCTTATCTATTGTATTTTATGGCTTCAGAGAACAATAAGGTCATGTCCTCTTACAAGCGACAGCACTGAATACTACATTTTATATTACATGTACTACTAAGCAGTATTTAGTAGTACTACTAAATAGTACTTTGTAGTACTACTAAGTAGTACTTTGTAGTATTCAGGGCTGTTAGGAATAGAACTGTTGAGTAGGAATAAACTACTGGTATTTGGAATCACACACAGTGAGTAACCTATCACCCTGTAAACTTTTGTCGATTTTTTTGCTCTCGTGATTTTTGACAAACCGTTCAAAAATGACAAAATGCGAATCGGAAATCTAGCAAAAGATTTCCTTTCTAGAAGTTTTCTGAAAACAAAAGTTTGTTCAACAAGAAATTTACATTTCACCTTTCAAACTGAACTTGTCTAAGAATGTAGAATGAACATTAAAAAGAGGTACCAGTAGGTATTTACTTCAAGCAATTCAGAACAAGGAAAAATCCAGAACTAGAAAATTGGCTGTATTTTCCAAGAAAAACATCTTAGCGGTTGATTGGTTCTCGACACAACAAAATGAAAATGCAACAACCTGGGAGATTGGAACCAGCCCAGAACTTTGTGCTTACATAATGTGTCTGGGTTTGATCACAAACACTGCCAAGTGCAATACTGTTGTGCTGAATAATGATGCTGGAAAACTCATCACTTTCATTCCACAAAGTACGGTAAACTTCTTTGCACTTAAATAAGCTGTGAAGACAACGGAGAACAGGGAAAATCCAATAGAAAAAATAGCAGGGGGTGAGAAAACTTTAGCGGGGCAGCCTAAACTTTTAGCAGGGCAGCCAGCCCTGCTAAAACCCCTCAGGGAGAACACTGGATTGATTCAAATATAGTTGCCTGATTTCTCCTACATGTACAGTGTTTGTTTCCTCATTTGTATTTCTTAGTTTTGAGAAGCACGTAGCTTTCTAATGAGCAAATTTCAGGAATAAATGCTTTGAATACATGTATTACAGGTACAAGTACATGTAAAAATAAACATAAAGAAAATACACGTACATGTACAAGTAATATTGTCTCTGCACTGTACAGGTGCATGAACATACAGTGTACATGTACATGTATACACTGCAGACAGTAGTCATGGTAGTTACAATACATGTATGGCCAGCCATGAACACAGGTATTGATTTCAAATGTTCTTACCGCCAAAATTCCATAAGGTCTTTTAGTGTAATACTACACACATTCAATAGTAGTATACAAAAATAATTTGGCACATGGTCTGGGAATGGAAACTGTTACCTACATGTACATAGTGATCATGACGTAGTTTTGTCTGTACATGTACATGACTAACCTACATGTACCACCACTGTGCGTGTATACGTACATGTGTACATGTACATGCACTAGTAGCAGACATGGCAGAGCAGCTTTCTTCCGGTAGGTGTAATATATACATGTAACGTATGATACCTACACATACACATCCCACATCCAATTAGTATTGTCAACGAAGGATGTTTTAAGTGCAGACCACAAGTACTTTGAGATCAGGTAATGTACATGTACATAATATGAATCACATCAATTTTGGTGTCAATCATTGACCAAATGTAGCCATGTTATGATGTGGCTTACACGCCTTGCAAACATGTACGTAATTTAACAGGTTGTGTATTAAAAGATCCTAGCGTCACGCTATTACAGGTGCATTCATCACCCACAATTGTAAATAACAATATGCCTGATTATGGAACTTGATGAATTCACCTGTCTGTATCATTATAAATACAACCATTATCACTTTTTTTGTACAAACCAATCCAATTATGGTCAGTGGCAGATCCAGTACAAAAGAACAAGGGGGACGGAGTATAATATCCCCATTTGGATCCTCTGCTGAAAGTGGGAGGGAGTATAATATCCCCATTTGGATCCTCTGCTGAAAGTGGGAGGGAGTATAATATCCCCATTTGGATCCTCTGCTGAAAGTGGGAGGGAGTATAATATCCCCATTTGGATCCTCTGCTGAAAGTGGGAGGGAGTATAATATCCCCATTTGGATCCTCTGCTGATGTCGATAATTTGTTATCCCTCCCCACCATTTTCAGCATTAATTAACCTGACCAACAAAACTGGTAATGTAGGCCTACATACGTGTAACCTCAAGTTCGTAGCCAGCCAGTTTGGGACCAGCTGTTACACTCTATGTGTACTGTGAAACACACAGTGCACACTGCACTGGGATGAAATCAAATATTGACAGTTCTGACAGGTGTCAACCAAATAAACATGATGCACACTGTACATTGTATGTTAGGCTTAGAATGGAACAAATCAAGCAACTTCACAGTCAATTTTTGAATCCTACAAGTTTACATTCACTAATACCTTTTTGGTTTCAATGGTCAGATGTTTCAACAACATTTTCATAACGTCTTAAAAACCTTGGAAAGACGACTCCCAATACCTGTACTTACATACCATGCACATATAGGGATGAAGGAAAGCTTTCTTAAGTCGTCATACATATTTATTTGGAGGTCACATTTCTCAGCTGGAAAATGCAAATTCCACTGATCAGTTTAAAAGATGAAACACCCAAAAGAACAGGTCTGGCTTTGCATAGATACATGTATGCAAAACATGCAATACATGTATGCCAGTACATGTGCAGCCACTTTCTATTCAGTGATTGGGGAAACGTACATTAATGGCAGAGTTAAAATGTAAAGAAGGCTACTTCTGAAGACCAAAACATTTTGGAACATAGAAGTATTCTTCAATGATTTGCCGGGAAGTGGAGGAAGAGATCTTCTTGAGTCCTGTGAAGAAAAAGATTACAAGCAGAGAATACTGAACTGGTACCAATGCCTTATTTGCAAGGCTATAGAACCGAGGGTAAAAATGCCAGAGTTGATTTAATTCTGGCACTTTTCTAGATTAATGCCAGAATTGATTTCTACAATGTGCTCATACAGACTTGGATTCTCGCAGGTTCACTAGCTTTGCAACATGTGCAAAACCAGGAGCATACACATGTAGTCTAGGCTTACAGACATGACAGAGCCACCTGTAACATGTCCAAGATTCTGTAATGAAGTACTTTACATGTACATGTAGTCTTAAAGGTAGTGTACACCACTGGTAAAATCCCCAAACTTGGAAATATCTTACCTGAAAGAAGGTGTACACAACAATCTCAATCAGACTGTAAAATAATTCCGGCCAGAATGCTGTAGACTAGTCTTCGAGAAAATAGCATCGTATAAGAGAGCATTTTACTTCACACATCACATCTTTTAACAGGCGTCAATTTTGTGGGTGTAGTGGTTGCAGATGTTGGAGGAGTCTCCACTAAAACCCTAACCACCCAAGGGTTGTTGGCCCTAATCTTCCCCAATCACACAAACTTCAACAGTACTCTTGCTGCAACAGTACCCAATCACACAAACTTCAACAGGTCTTTACCTGTGTAATTTTGTTAGATTGGGTACAGGTAGGCCCACTACACGTCGCAAAGAGTATGGATCGACTGTACCTAATCAAACAAATTTACACAATATCATTGTGCATAGACTGTATCTGTGCCACCCAAATATAATGAGATAAGTGACCCAACTGCTGGGCTCATGGGGAGCTGCTTATGTGTTGCTCAGGCAAGGATTGGTGCAAGGTAAGGCTACACTCCATTGTGTCCATTGTACTGCATGAGAAACATACATGTACTCTCATAAAAAGTGGGTACTATAGAGTCTATGGGTAAACCCCCAAAACTTGGGAAAAAGTCATGGGGCTACAGTACCCATTCGCATAAAATTAAACATCAGATAGTAAGCTACCAATACCTAATGCCACAAACTTGTACACTTTACTGGAGTTGAATTGTGTGTGGTCAGGGAAGGTTAGGGTTCATGCATGGGTAAACTTGAAAGCAGCTAAAAATATACCCGATGTTAACACCCTGTTATCCAATTGCAAGAGAAATTTCAAGATCTTTAATTCAAGCATTGAAATACCACACTGGTTGTTTTTTTTTCACAAAGCAGTTGACTCAAACACAAAACAATCAGTGGAATGTATGTTGCAGTGAATGTAATACACCGTAATCAGCTAATCTTGTGAAATTACGACAAAAAACGAATGGTGTTCAATACCTTTAAGCGAGCTGAGTACTACATGTAGATGTCCTGTACATGTATTACAGTTATCTAAAAGTGAAAATACCATTACATTTACAATTGCAAATTTTGTAAACATAGTATTTTTCATTGGTAAAGTTTAGAACTTCGCATCATATTGAATATATGTTTCATAGTGTAGCTATTGACCACTTAAAACTTTCATCATGTTGATCATGTTCAGTTCACATCAAGCACTAACCTTTACAGTCCTGAATCTTCCAATTTCAATTTCAATGATTTTCTAGTACATGTAGGTCTATGGGGTAACTTAGGGCTAATTAGTATTTTAAGTGACCGCACAGTCGCCAGGTCCCTTACTTTGCCACTTACTGTGAAAACTAAGCCTAATTAGACTCAACAATAAGTGGCAAAATTGGGGTCCTGGCGACTATACGGTCATGGACATTAGGCATGCTACATGACATGTACATGTAGGTCATGGTGTACAATTTGGAAGACACAGCAGTAAAAACATGAAAAAAACAACTGTCATGACCATGTCAAAAATGTTCACCATGTTCACCGTAGTATAGTCAGGTGAGTGGCCACTTAAAATTAAAGCTGAAAACAGGTGGCAAAAACTTGAAATGTAAGAAGTCCTCACCATACGTTTGTACAAAGCAGGTGCACCAAAAAAGCTGAAATTGACGGACAACATCAAAACAAAACATGCTGAAATCAGCTAAAAAGCTGAATTTTCACACCTCTGTATAGTATAGTGCCATGCTGCATGGGAATTAACCTACAGGTTAATTAATCATGTTATTGTAAATACACGCGTTCGTGTGGCATAAGGCATGTAAGGCCTAGCCCCAGACTGGGTCCAGCCTACTGGCAGACTGGACTAGGCCTGCCTCCGTAGGAGCAGACTTAAGTCATTACAACTTTACAAGGCCTAACAAATTTATCGTCTTTCATCGCGTGCATACACATGCGGATATGCACGCACACATCCACTCCTCATCTTCGGTCATGTTGGTCGTCAACGTCCGGGATTGGGAATGGAGAATACTTACAAAACTGGACCGTTTCGACATGTCCTTTCTGTCCATTTTAATGGTTGATGAAGACGTAACCTTCAAGAACTGGAATCTTCGATAGCATCTCTATCAAATTCTCGCTCGTTCGTTGCAAATTAGCGGTGTACAAACATAAGAAAACACCAATTTGTGACATGGGAGGCACCCATCTTCCTCACTTCCAGTTCACACCACTTTGTATTTAGTGTCGGATGCCAGGTCATGACCTTCAGCTCAATCCACCAATCACGCACGGAGTTTATCGCAAAGAACGAATACCGGCGGTTGCAATCAACCGGCTGCGACTTCCAGTAACACACGTACCCATGAGAAGTAGTGGCAGCCGTTAACCCTGCCTGTGCTCTCCGTACCGTACAAGTATTACGTCGAGCTGCAGCCGTAACTCTCGAGCTGCCTACAAGCTCTGTACGGGCACCAAAGGGCGACCTCTGCTGATGACAAAAGCTTCAGTAGGATGGAGACGGGATGATGATGGATTGGTCCGTAGGCGTAATTATCAAAGCTGTTTTTCAGGCTTTTGTTTTCTTTTAGAAAGGATATTGCAATTTCTTGTTGTCAGATTTACGAAAACAGGGCCCGAGTTAGTCACAATGTTGACAATGGAAAGACTAACAAGCTATTTTTCCCCTTACCTTCAAACCCTCTAATCATCAACAAAACAAAATCAGAAACTTCCACAACAATAAGCCAGGAGCAAGAAACAATTTCAGAAACACAATAAATAAGTGACTTACATGTAGGCTCAGTCTCTTTCTTAACAACTGATACTCAGCTTTATTCTTGCCAAATTAGAAATGCAGGTACACGGTTGTCAACATTGGTTGCCAAGTGACGTACACTTGGGACATATGCACATGGGCAGTTTAATTATACTCATGCTCTACTGGAAACTTGTCAAGGATGCCTGTGAATTGTCCATTCCTACAAAATACAAGATCAAACAAGTCTAGCTAATACCACATGAACTGTCACGTACAAAATAGACCTCAATGGACTAAATGCTGCATTGAGAGTCTTTTTTTCCCTGAACTCAAAATTTCTGCTCCACTATACCACAAAATCTGTACATTTCTGAGTTCACACAACTGCACAAATTATGCCTCTGTGTATGCCATTAGAGATGTGTTCCTTCCCCTACCCCCATTCTCATTACCGAAAAGAAGTGTTGAGTTTAGCATCCATCAAGGTTCTGCTGTGAATTTACATTGTTCTGGTCCATTCCAAAGTGACTTGCGTCACCCACAAAAAGAGTTAATTATAAATAGATATAAGCAACTGCCTGAATGACAGCTAATTTTTTGGCAAGACATCAAGGCCATCTCAGGAATCGACAACAGGTAGCTGAAAGTAAGACATACTCCTATGGAAGCCTACGGAAGCAGTTACTTCCCATAAGCTCATGTGTTGTGGCCAGGAAACTCAGACATGACCCAACCGAGGAAGCTAGCAATCATCTTCTTCCGGCAGTATCGACCACTCGACATCTGCAGGGTGTTTTCACATTCTGAGAGCAACAATGGGCCAGAAGGCGGGCTGGTGGCGATCACAGTTGCGATCAAACTGCATCTGCATGGCTGTCTCCATGCTGTGTATTCTGGCTGAGTGTTTCCCGTACAGAACCTATAGAAATACATGCGGAAGGGGAGAAATAGCAAGAACTATTAATGTCAGATTGTTAGAAAATGAAACTCCCCCATAAATCCTCTTACCTGGTATACAAGGATGTTTCCAGAATTTACTGATATCAAAGCTCTTCAGTGTTGTCATATTCTTTGCAAGTAAAGAAATTCTTTCTGTACTCTATGATCCTGGACCAATGAAAGTCTAGCACATATTAGGAAGAAATTACAGTAGGGTCAATCATTCCATGAGTGTATTCCCTATTCGCTGTATGCACACAGTTGAGGGCGCTGTGGCAATGACAGTGCAATAAATTTTGAGACTTTGCAGAATTTTGGCTGCATCGGAATCTGTTGTCTAGAGCTAGTTCTAGGTCTTCCCTCCATTGAAAATGTGCGGAGATGCGCAGACAATAGACCTAGCCGTAGCTCTTGAAGCCCATTTTGGACACAGCCTTTTTAGCTAACAAGGCATGAGTTCTGTGTGAATCCTGACTCCTCATTCTGAGTGATAATCTAAAAATTCACGGGGAGTGTTTTGAGTCATACTTTCAAAGTCCTGATATCTGGAAAAGTCCTGAGAAATCGCACACCTGACACAGGTCGAAGCTGCCACAATTCAGCGATACCCAAAAGGTTTAATCAGTCTTTCGCCCACCTGACTTGCAGACAGCAAAATGGAAATCAGAGTTGGTTACTCATGCGTTGCAAGTTCTTGGTCAAATAGAACGTTGAATATCAGTCACGTCAGTTATACCTTCATGCCTTTTCTTCTGCCTTCATCTGGTCTTTCTGACGGTGCCTGACACTTGTTTTTCTCTTTCAACCTCAGAGGATTCCTCTTGGTTTTGCTTCCGTCATTTCTCTTCTCTCTCTCTAGTTTGGCCTTATCTCTCTCCTCTCTGAATTTTTGCGAGGTCCTGAAAAACTCCAGCATCTCCTGGCTGATTTCAACCTCCAGACTCTCATCATCGCTGTCCTCTGTTTCTTCATCTGAATATGCAGTGTTCATGGGCTGCTTGTCGTCCTGAGTTCCCTGTTGGGATGCAGTGTTCTGGTAATGAGGAGAGTGGCCTGCATACTGATAAGCTTCCATTCGGCTGCTCCAGCTGGAGTTGAGTGAGTAAGCCCTTTGAGGAACTTGATAACCATGACTAGAACTCGTTGGGAACTGAGACCACCAGCCGTACCTGTTTGTGATGTACTGGTACTCAGCAGATGGGGACCAAGTGCATGGATTTTTGTGCATCACAACATACATTTGCATCCATGACTGCATAGCAGCATAGTGTTGCCAAAACCTAATGACAAACATTGAACAAAAAATCATTTATAAAGTTCTACTTTGGGAGAACATATCAAAAATTACTTACTTTCTTTAATGAGACAATTTCAAGAATGGCAAAAATTACATAAAATGTTCAAGTTCAAACACCGGATAACATGAGAATTGGAGCTGTAAACCAAGTTTATGTGACTTCTACCCTGTACCCCTTGAACTCTGAGGCTCATCACTTTACCTTACTGAGACCGGCAAGGCAAAGAACGAGCCCCCCCCCATTTCCACTTCTCCAGTCCTAAGAGTAAACAGTGCGGATACACTTCATAAGGCACTTTGTTGAACCAGTCTTGATAGTTTTTATACCTTCAAGTCAAATTTGTGAGTAGATCCCTAGCCTGGTGAACATCTTGTCTTTTTTCTTCTACTTGTGGGGATATGAGCTCCCCAGCCAACCCAACCCTCCCCCCCCCCGCGAAAAATGAACTTCATAAAGCTGGTACCTATGATCTCCTTCCTGTACAAATCTGACAAATACCTGCAATACTGAGGTTGTTGGTACCAAGGATACTGCTGGTTTGTCCCATCCTGACGACCATAACGACCATCCCCAATGGCTGCATCATAAGCAGCCTTCTGATGAGGTGATTCCTTGTTCATGCTCGAAGCACCACTTGGATCACTCACGTTGCCATCCATCCAGACTTGGAAAAAAAACAAAAATAAGCTCTCACGTGAACTGCAAACATGCGCTACAAGTACAACCAAGGAGTGTGCTGGTTGCTGGTCTGGTGAGATAGGCCCATGGTAGGCCCGGCTATAGATGGAAAACAAGCCGTCAGCTCAGCCTCAGCTGACACAACTTACATACATGTCATGACAATTTATCCATACCTCTAAGCCTTATCAGTCATTTATTCAGGGAACATTTCATGGGGATTGTAAAACTGGGGACCCTGTTCCTATAATAGAAAAGAGAGCTACATTTCAACGTTTAAATTCACCTAAGAAGATGACTAGTGACATCATGCTCAATAACTGATTTTGCCAAAAAAGGGCAGGGTTTTGAGTTTGAGGGAAATTATGAGGGGAAACTGTGAGTGTTTTAACACATTACACATGGTGGATTCAAATTTGCATGGCTATTTCATCAGGAAGAAAGTCACATTTTCTCACAGTTTCCAATTTGAAATTTCCAAAACATAGGGTCAATGCAATAAAGTAAAAAGAGCCTTCTTTGGGGGACTTACCAGTTTGCAGGATTAAAATGACAAAAAAATGTGGGGTCCCAAAGTATACAATCCCCAATTCCACTAGCCTAGGTAGGGGTTAAAGAGAGCATACATAAAGCGAAACTGAAACTTACGTTATACTTTGCCGCCGGATTGAGGCTCGGACGAGAGTGTCGATAGTCACATTGCAAGCAACATTTACTCATGTAGAACGTAGATACAGCACCGGTATACAAGTAGAGTTGAGAACTCTGCATCTGAGCGCTTAGTTTTCCTCTATAAATAGCGCCACCAATAGCCTAACAAAGAGATCACCACTTGCTGAAGTTAGGGGAGGCTTGTTTAGTTTTTAACTCAGAGTGACTGTGAATAACCACATTACACCAGCAATTTATTCATGATTAATAACATTGATTAATTTTGTGTTAACAGTTTTTAAGCTATTATTGCAGAGTACTTCACGTAAATGTCAGGAAAGATGACGTTCATTGACCAATTCGCGCTAGAATGTGACAAGTTTTTTGTCTCCTCACGCGTCACGACGGGTCACCGATTACTCTCCAAGGAAAAGACAGTATGATATGGCTGTTAATAACAACCTCTTGCCAATTTTGGTTTAAATGTGTTATTTTCTTTTTAACTTTCAAGGGATCTTAGTGTAGGCATCTCACTAGTAAGATCACCTCCCCCTTATGACTTTTGCAAGCGGCAAAACCCAGTTATTCAGGGAAAAAATGGCAGCCTATCCCTAGTCTGACTGGGCACGACACCGCTTGCAACGACATCACGGGTATGTTATTGCAAGGTTTTACGTTATACTGAAATCAGTTTGTTGAAATGAAATGAGGCTCCGCGGACGAGCGTGTCGATAGTCATGAAATGAAATGTTGAAATGTCGAAGGTAAGAGTTTGAGAATTGTTTTCTCTAAAGAAAGGCGTTAAATTGCAATTTTTTGGCATCCATAAATGGTATTCTTCCACGTCACATTTTCTCAGCGAACATATCTCAAAGCACAACATTAAAAAAATGCTTCAAAAGTATTACATTTCCCTCTCCGACTTTTTTGTTCAGGTTTTGTTTTATATGACCGCATCAAAACGGAAGAATAGTGACTGATCATAGCTTCGTGTATGAGATTTGCCCGCTGGTGTACTGTGCCCAAAATAGATCCACACACTGCATAAAATTTTGAAGTATAGGTGCAATTTTTGTCAGTAAGCCTATACGTATGGTCAGTTTGCTCTCGTAAAGTGTAATATAATTTGGGATAAAATGTGGAGTATCGATGTAGGAGTCTTTTTTTGGGGGGGAGGGACACTCAATTGTAAAAGGGGGCCGATCCCGAAGTATATTCAAGCAAACTGGGAATTTCCATCCCCTAAATTTCTTCTTTCCCTTTTCATCCTATCCCTTTCCCTGTCCTTTTTTTTCCACTGGAGACAGCTCACCCTAACAGTGGTGTATCCAGCGAGGGGCAGGGGGCAACTTGCCTCCCCCCCCCCCGATTTTTTTTACAAAGAATACCTCATAGGTGAGTAGCAAAGAAAGTAATCGGCATATTTACTTATCAAATATTAGTATCCACACCCTGAGACAACAACACCAGCAAATACACTGTAAATTTATTTAAAGCAAGCATGTCGGGGGACCGTGAGTAAGGCGTTTGATTTTTTTTAAATCCCCCAACAACATGTTGAATGAGCCCGAAGCCACATTCGTTTTGAATGTGCCCCCACCCGGACGCCAAAAGTTGGGTACGCCGCTGCACCCGTGCCCAGTGCATGCATACCCGCTGTGTGAACATTTCTTTTGTTTCAGTGCACGTACATTCACTGAAGTCTGTGGGGAAAACTCGTACGCAAGGTGTAAATGGCGTGCGCGTCATCATTCTTAGGTTCTCCCGAGAAATATCTGCATGTTCAGAAACACACACTGATGTCAATCTGGAGAACTTCGCGTTTTATCGGAGAATTTCTCGTTCTTTTGAAGATTAATGAAGTGAATGCGCTGCGTGCGTTCCGTGTGTCTGGCGTTCCGAGTGCTAGCTAATAATTTTATCTCTGCATCAGTTCGGCACAAGATCACCTTGTTCCCGTCGCACCCAAATCGATCTGTTATCGACTTAGGCACATCGCCACGTGCGTCCAGCACAAGATCAGCAGGCCCTGCAACTGCTACTCCTTCCGAGATTCTAACAAAAAATCATTTCAACCGGCAGGCCTGTCGCTAAGGCAGAGGGCTAGAGGGGCCGAGCCGGCTGGCGAGCAGCTGCCTCCCCCATCGGTAAAAACCAAAAGCGTGAAGAGCATTATCTACTGTTCTTGTGACGTGCCGCCTTAGCTGGTACGTGTGGGGCCCCCCCTGCCTTAAGCTGGCGACCGGAAAGTCAACCGGTCGATATTTAAGAAGCAAAGCTGGACGTTCTTGGCTACATCTATGTCAAGAACAATGAGATTAAACAAGTAGGGGCCTATGTGGATAGTACGAGATTTAAATGAACATTAGATTTTATATGAGAATACTTGTACTGCACATTTTGTTGTTGGCCTGGTCTGTGGCTTTAGTTTGGTTTTCTTTCATTTCTTTACATTTCATACATTTGGTTTGGTTACTCATTGATACTGATTTCAAAAGCATGTCACATGTTCACGTATATCCACCGGGGGAGGGAGGGCAACCCCCGAACACATTTTTAAGGAATTAGAACATCAACGCACCTTTTTGATCGACGCTTCTCCTGGATGGAAAAAAATGGACTCTTTTTCAGAAAAACAAACCCACTACTCCTCCTCCACTCCGTCCAAGACCTGGATACGCCACTGGTAAAGTTGTATTATACCTGACCTAAAAAGACGCCAAAAACAGCACTGGATTTTTTGCTTTCGGCTGACTGAAGTTGACTTTTCTTGAGAATCGATGTAGCCACAATGGCGCTCGTTCTTCACCGTACCACTGTAGTTTTGTACCGGGTTTTGCGGGCTGAGATGATTTGTTCTTTGTTAGCGTCTTGGGATCATGCTATGCTAAATTATGCTTCAGAAATGGTCAGTAGAGTTTTTTCGGGGGTATATATGATTTTGCCCGAAAACACGATTCAACATTGATCCGTAACAATTTTTAAATTTACTTGTGTTTCAATGGAACTTTGAACAAATAATGAAATCGCCCATCTCAGTATAGCACTCCTTGAAGGAATTTTTTTCCTTGCCAAAGTATCCTGATGGAGTTCCTCTCTAAAACGTTTCCTCCAAAGTGTAAAAAGTAAAACAACACTAATTTAACTAATCATTTATGCTGAAGAAAACCTTTACAAAATTAATGCTCTTTTGGAAGTTTCAAAAAAATGTTTTAAAAAGACTCAGAAACAGAAAAAAAAATTCAAAATGCTTCGAGAACTTGGTACAGAGTTTGATTATGGTAATAGAGATTGTGCGTTAGCGGCGTCTCTGTGGTGTCTCAGAGGCTTTTTTTCTTTATTTTAATTTCCTTGCAACGAAATTTTGCATTTTCCGTTTTGCAGGGGGGGCATTTTCAAAATGGCTGCTTTTCCAGGCAGTGAAATTTCCGTCATTTTAGGGGTGGTCTACTTTGAGGCAGAAGTTCTCAAAAATTCATTGGTTAGTCCACTAACTATTGCAAGGAAAATGAAAGAGGACATGTCGAACGTTCTTTTTCTGTGCAGCCTGTGCACTTGAGAGAGTTGTGAGTATTTTGTCAAGATTTGTGGAGTGTGGGGACTTATCACTGCTGTCTATGCGAATTTTTATTTGGTGCGGTACACCCTGCAAGCTCTGTGCTTGTGACGCTTGTAAACACCGCCACCACATGGCGAAAATGAACCGCGCATCGAAATTCTCGAAATAGCGTTCTGGACAACGTCTGATCCCCCCTTAGATTGAGACATGCTACATGTTCTATTCTGAGCAGGGAGCCAGACTGTATATCTCTCTCTGCGGATTGGATCGCCGCAATCGAAGTGGTACGTTAGCGTTACGTATACTGAGACATTTTACATATTTTCCACTTTTGCATATTTTACGATTTCTTTGCAAATGAATTTGTAAGGATTGAGAGAAATAGACGAAGTCGCTGATCGGAGTTACGGTAAGCTTATCCATTGTAAATACTTATTCAACGTATTTATATTAGGCCAAATCGAATTGGCTGATACGCTGTACATAGGCCTAGGCCTCATCTGATTAGGCTATCGAAAATATGTGCCAGCACAGTTCATGGGTAAACAATGTTATTGTAGGCCTACACTTTGTTTTGTAATTTGTGATTAGCCGAGTTGACCTTAGCAATGCCAGCTTGAGTATCTTCAGCGTATGAAATAAACACTCAAGCTGTGTAATGCTCATCATGAAATTGGGAAATTCCCAATTTGAATTAGGCTTGGAAGTTGGAGCCAAACACTCCAGCGTGCCCTGATCGCTGCAGTAAAGTCCTCTCTCTGATCTTAGCGTAGGCCTAGAGACCCTAGGCTCAAACTTGGAGTTCAGGTGCTTTATCAAGTGACACCTGACTGTAGAATCCCATTGCTGCCATTTTACGCGACTCGTGTGGGGCATTTTGGCTGGGATTTCCCCACACTTCCGCTGTTGACGGCGCATTGTTGCATCGTGCCGTCACATAGTTTTGTACACAAAGTATAGGCCGTCTCATTGTCGCGTTGTGCCATCGCATTGTCACATCGCCGCATCTTCACATTGTCGTATCATCACATGTTGAGACCTAGACCGACCTTTAGTTTCGCTAGCTGAGGGCGCTTTCCCGTCCCTGCATTCCCGGCTCAGGCATTCATCAACCTGGGGCAACTCTACTCAACAAACTTTTAAGGGACTTTCCACAACCATTATGTGAACAAAAATGAGAACTTGAACTTATTTTTGCATGGGTCGAAGTTTGCAAAGAATGATGCCATTGCATTTTTGAAGGAAAGGATTGGTCAAACACTTGTTTATTGTATCTCTTAAATCATACATTACCTGCAACGAACACCATGATTAATCTCCAAAATTCCACAGATTTCCCGATAGGTGTAACCTACTGCAAAATAATGACAGATCAGCTGGTCCCCTGACAATTTTATCTAAGGAAATAAATCTTGCAGTGTAAGTGTAACAGTCATTAACACAAGGGCAAAAGGAAAACATCACTGTCAATTAAAATATAGGCCTTTAGGTCCAAACAAAATTGATTTTTTTAAAAAAATGTTCTTGCTTTTCGTGATTTCTACAATATGACATACGAAGAAAATGCATGGACACAGGATGCAGCACTAACCATAGTTCTGAAAAGCTTAAATTAATTGTATTATAGACTAGAAATAACGAACTACACGAGCAAAAATAATGTGCTCAGGAATTAACAGACTGGGGTTTTTATAAGGAATTTATGAAAGTATGGTATACCATGTCCAATAAACTTGTACCAGTTTGTATCCACTGACGGTCCTGCTGCCGTCATCTAGTCCGAGTATTTAAAATGGATCCAACTTTGTTTACAATAGGGTAGGGGTAACCATCCAAGTGCTTTAAAAAGGTGATAGTTTGCTCCAAGTAACAGCGTTAGGCCTTTGGCCAGTGACTAATATAATATTTCAAAGGATACTGCCCACGTGGCAATGCAAATGGGATTTATTAACATATAATCTGAAGATGTAGGCATATTCATCTTATGGCAAAACTTGAACTCGGAAAGAAAAGCTCCTGAAAAGGTGTCTGAACGAGAAGAATTATCGGGGATGGTTGTGCTAAACACTGCAATCACAACAGCAACAGCACCCTCCTGGCGGAGCACACGAAACAAATTCCATTTTAATGAAAATGCGACAGTACAACGGGACGATGCGACGGCACCATGTGACGGCACGACACGACTATGTGACGGGCCTATTTTTTGTGTACAACACTCCACGATGTGACGACACGACGCGACAATGCGCCGTCGACGGCGGAAGTGTAGGGAAATCCGGGCCAAAATGCCCCACATGCGCTGCATAAAATGGCAGCAATGGAATTCCATACCTGACCCCTAGTGCTGTGCTTGGGAAGAGTTCCATATATAGCCGCTAGTAATTATTCTCAAAAGTAACCAATTACTAGCCATCAGAGAGCCAAAAAATGTCCAGAAAAGTTCAATTGAGGAGGGGAAAAAACCAAGTTGTTTACTTAGAAACACTTGTTTCTGACCAGTTTCATAGAGTTTGTGCACAAGGTACACAAGGTATCCAGCGGCGTCCGTATGTGGTACTCTTTCACTGTGCTTTCTCAATTACACCAGTCGCAGCGGGTCAAATTAATCAGGTTTCATTTACAGCCCAACTGGATTTTCACACCGGGCTTGATTTTTGGAAATCACTTCACTGTCTGAAAGTACATGTATGTGTTTTTTCTCTTCAACAAAGTGCATGTGTGTTTTCAGACATGTTTAGGCCATGTAAAAACAACGAATTGGTGATCATCCTCCTTCTCCTGACCCTCCTAAATGGCTCTGACCCATTTTTTTTTTTTATATATTCAAAAAAATGGGGGGAAAGTGTAAAAAAGCACTGAAAAAAAATTCACGAGCAACAATCCCAAGCTTACCCTTCAGTCTGAGAATTCACGCAAGACTAGTTCATTCTTGATCGGAGACTTACTAGTGCAGACGTCTTAACATCGTGGGTTCGAGTCCCACCCCAGTAAGCTTGTGAATTTTTTTTACAAACTCTCAGACAAGCACTGAGTATACAGTGTTTATAAATATATACGTCGAGTAAGGGCCAAAACCAGTAATTAAAATGAACACCCTCTCGACGCAAAGTAAATCTAGACAGTACTGATGAGGAAATAAGGAATAATAACCCTGGGGCACACTAGTATGTACATACTGTACATGTATGCATTGCCTTAGGACCCCTCTCCCCCTGTGCGCAAGGTGAGCCCTCACCCCGGAAGAGGTTTGCAATTTTTTTTTTAAATGTTCTGAGAAAAAAAAAAAGAAGCAGCTACAGTATTCGCCTACAATGTACATCTCAAACTGCATAGCTCTGATATACTCATACAGTACATGTGGCAGTACATCCCAGGTCCCTGGAGTGGGAGGGGGAAACTTGAGTATCATGAGGTAAATTTTGGGGGGTTAAGTTCTGGTCTGAACCCTACATCTCCCCCCTCCCACCCCAAGACAAATCCTCAGTGCGCCACTGGGTGCAAAAACTCCTCCCTTTTCTCCATGTGTACATGTACGTACATATGCCGTAGATGTGCTGTATGGATGAGTCCCTAGCTCTACGGTGCCCATACTGTTGCCCCATTTATACTAAATCAGTCTCTTGGTTTCCAACTGATGTTGATGACGTCTCTCATGTTCGCCTGTGCGACATGTTAAAAACAGGCCGTAAAACACAAATTGCAATGTTTGTTGTGTCCTGGTTTAGGTTTGGTACCACAATAAATTTTACCCCGTCAGTTCACTCATAATGTGGAAATGTGGAATTCATATTTGAATTGGTCTTTCCAGTATTTCCGTGTACATGTACACCCCTGGTAGTCATTTGTATGAATCAGAAATCAGCTTTTCCCTAAGAACTTTTCCTCAACCAATCATGATGGCCTAGTGTTTAAACCAACTTTGGGTGCAGTCATCGGCTTTCTTGTTTGGTGTGAGTTTTTGTGATGGCATGGTTTCCCTTGCTTGCACCCTGTAACTTCCCTCAAAACAACAGAAATCTTTCTACAAATCACTCGTGCCCGAATTCAATCCATATTTTTCCCCCATAATGGCATTGATGTCAGTGTTGGCCACATTGATTGCTGTTGACTTCTGTGTTCTGTTCACTAGATTTCTTTTCAGTCAATATGCAAGTGGTCTGGTTGCTTGCATAGTAACAGCATTAGAAAAGGGACCCTGTAAGGGCTGGGGGGGGGTGGCAGGGGGTTGCAACCCCCCCCCATGTTTGTCACTGCCATGCAGGTAGATTTGTTTTTGATTTCTGTTCATACTTGTTGTTTCTTTTCAATTACATTTTTGGTGTCTTTATTTGAACCCTGAGCCTTTGAGTTTGACAAACTTTGACATGCCATTATGATTCTTGCAGACTTGGGGAGAAAAAGGCCAGATTGAAACTTTGATGGATGTCTTTACAGTGACATTGTGCCAAGGTTTACATAAAGTCTTTTTTGTTTTAGTTAGTTACTTATTAAAAGTTAGTTATAATTTTTTTTTTATCATTTGATACAATTTAGAAATGATTTAGTTTATTTATCATCCATGTTGTTGAGTTTTTTTTTATTTGTTAATTTATTCTTTGCCGTGGGTGATCCATTCAGTAAACCTGCTCACTGGTTTCCCATGGATCCCAGCTTACATAATTTAAAACATTAAAATACCAAAAATACAATACAAAAAAATGAAAAATGTAAAAATTAGAAAAAAAAGATAAGAACTCATTTTACAAATAGTTGTTTAGAAAAATCATAATAGAATGAGGTTCCTCAATTTACTTCACATAGTTTTTCATTTTACTCAACTCACACTTAGAAAAAAAAGGATGAGAATTGGACTTTAGTATGCTACCAAAAATTAAAACACCAAAACAGATCGAGATAGTGGTCCACATAAATTTTGCAACTGAAGTTGGATTTATAACATTCAAATTCTGGAGAAAATGCTGATCAACTTATCCATCACAATGCCACTTATCTTTAACTGAAAAACAACACAAATTCTGTTAAAATATACATGTACCTCAAAAGTTTATTTACCTTCCTCCTAGACTTTACACACCAGCAGCAAAGTTGTGCTTTGAAAAAAATGATAAATTCTTTATGATCTCTTTTGTCGCATGTTGTTTGTTTCCTGCACAATATTTCTGTTGTCTTCCCTCCTCTGTCTCATTAGTCTTAGTAGACACCACTTGCCTATAAATGATAGATTTGTTTATTGCTTGCATCATGTACATGTAGCTCATGTAGAGTGATTCTACATGCATTTGATGAATTAATCATATGTACATGAAAATGCTATCTCCCAACCAGTACAAGAAAAGACAGAGAAAAAGTTAGGTTGTGTCCCTTGTTTTCTTTTTTTCTTTGTGAATCCTGGTTTTTTTTCTTCATTTTTTTTAAAGGTCATTAGTTGCTCCCCCCAAAGAAATTTCAATCGTTTTTGTTAAAACCTCATATGTTGGCAAATAATCACCTGTTCTTGAGTGTGAGGCAAGTCTGGTGTGTGTAATCAAAGCATTGGTGTGTTGTTCAGATGCACAGCAAGGCTGTCCAACTTGGCTTTTTTTTCCTTTAAAGCTTTCAAGTTCCAGTTCCTTTCTGGGGTTACCTTTGGTGTGGCGAAAGGCTTTCCCTTCAGCCATTGACAAAAAAAGACTTCTTTTGACAACAATTGAATTTTTTTCTGACGGATTGGCATTACGCTTTCTTGGTCTTTTTGGTGGGTTGTGTTGTGCCTGCATGTACAATTATAAAGTGGCAAGAGCACAGGCTTTACAGCCAAGCATCATAAAAGATCCAAGGCTTGGGAACAAAAACATGAAAGAGATACTGCACACCTTTATGAATTTGAGAACTTCACCATTATTTCACCTGCGGTTGTGATTTTTGATCAACAGATTTCCTGGACAGGAGTGGCACAGTAGGCTTGTCCATCTTTCTCTGTCAGTAACTGGCCATGTAAATCATAGCCATAATGACTAGATTTACTTCTTGAAGTGCCGCTTTCAAAATAGTTGAATTAGTTTAGTCTCATGTTTTTTCTATGCCCATAGTCTTGAAGAGCAAAAAATATTAAGAGCACAATGGAAACTAATTCCTCCCAGCTCAGTTTGGAAGGTTGAAACTACACAGAGGTTCATTCACATTTAGTCACTGACAACAAGAGACTCAAAGCTGAGAAAGGAGAAAAGAGGTTGTCATGTGAAATGGTGTGGAATGGGCGGCATGCATCGTGCAGAATTAAGAGCTTTGTGTACAGTGTGTGGTTGGATTAGGTTGGCTGCTCTAATCAGATAAAACTGAGGAAATATTCCGCATCATCCGTCTACACAGCATCCTGACGTTCACGTCATTGAGACTGAACAATTTATTTGGCGTCTGTGGAATTAAAATCTTCTTCGTGAAGGTTGAATTTCATCTTTATTTCATAAGTGTAAGTTGGTTTTGTGTTTTGCTTTTTTGTTGTTGTATTTTGTCACAAGAAAGTAAAATATTACCATTTGCTGTTGCTGGCTGACTCCAAAGCCATAAATTACCTGTGACCTTTTGAGGTGGGTTATTTTGCAGATGAAAGTAGCACCTGTTATTAGTGTCAGATGTTTTAAAAGAAAAAAACTCTTGTGGCCTGCAAGCTGAAGTTGTGGTAGTTAATTCATTAAAGTACTCTGTTAACTTCATTTTTTTAAAAACTCTCAGTTGCATATTGTCTGTCTCTGTAAGTCAAAGTTCGTGAATGATATTATCATACTAACTTGTCACTGAATTTATGGGCTGACTCAATTCGAATAATTCACTGTTCGAGCATTCGACATTTAATTCGATTGGATATCCGATTATTTCGTACCGACTGGTAGATTGTTGATAAACAAACCATATACATGTACAAAATCAGTTGCAATAACATACACAATTGTACATTATATTCACTATAATAGCTTCTTATCTTCAGGAGTATCTCCAGCCACGATTTAGCAGAAGTTAAGAGACGAACAATATTTTTTGCCCCTTTGAAAATTTCTGTTCCTTTTTAAATTTTTTAATGAGTAATTTACTTTTTGAATCGTAAGATTTCAGTTGCTTTTCATTTGAATCTGCTTAAAACAAGCCTCCATTGTGCAACTTTTCTCATTTAAAACCAAAGAAAATTTTCCCTTTCTTTTCATGAATTTTGCATTTGAACATCCAATATCAGAAAATAATATTCGAATATTCGATAATCAATCGATTATTCGAATATTCAGCACAGCCCTACCAAATATGTCCTTTTTTTTAACCTATTTAACTCACATCATATTTATCAGTTCTTTCAATCATTGCTGCTGCTAGTCAGAGGCATTGTCATGTCCCATTCAGTCGTCGTATTTTAATTTTCTTGTTACGATTTGTCAGTATAGGGAAAAATTCAGTGTGTTAAAATGAAAAATAACATAACATTTCAGTTCACACACTGCTGGTAAATATTTTTAATGACAATGTCGCAGAGCATAGCATATTTCAATATTTAATTTCTTTTTTGTTCTTTTTTTTCAAATTTGTAATTGCTTGTGATACAAAGGATGCTGTTTTCAGGTTAAACTCTGACTCAGTTTCCCTCATGCTTGTATGGGTATATTAAAATTTTAAGAGCTTTGTTTAACTTTGCATGAGCATTACTGGTTCACATTCCACACCCACACACACATACAGTATGTGTGGATTAAAGTTTAATTTAATTTCCATTTTACTCTCTCGGCTTCTCTCCTACAGTTGTAGATGCACGTACATGTATGGTACATGAAGACCGGTACTGGATTTTTCTCCTTCCTGCAAACACCACTGCATCGATGGAATGGTTTGAAGGTTGAGCTGCATTATACGGAACAGAGCCGTCCTCATTTCCGATCTTGCCAGGTGGGCGATTGAGATCCAACCCTGAAATTACTGAGTCCTTTCAGCAAATGGATTCTTGTTGGAAAGCCATCGTTTCTCGGGTGTTTTCCCATCTCAACACCGCCGCGGTACGGAATGATGTTCATGTATGTATGATCACTACAAGTCTGGCCGCGAGTCCTACAATGTAGATGATGGAAATCAGAATGACCATCGTACTCAAGAGCGCGTCACGGTCGTTCAAACCCTGATGAACCTTGGTGATCCGTCTCGGTTCCCCGTTCATCCCCTGCTTATCCAAGTCAATCTGAGTGAAGTCACAACAAATTAAGAAGAGAGAGAGGGGGGGTGTAGGCCGATAGGCATGGATGAGGGCAGCTGCTGACCTTTGTCATTCCACGGAGAAGGCTTGTTCAGGTGAACATGCTAATTGGATTTTTTTTTTTTTTTTTCTAAAAAAGTACAAACGCTTGGCAATTTAAACGTCAACACAAACATTTGTGAGTTGTGAGCCTCCACAGTGCCCTGTCTGTACAGCAGCAATGAAGCAAGTGGGTTTGCTGTCAGCTGGCTGTCAGCCATGGAACAGCGATGTGGTCGCCACCAGTGGAGATAGATTTGCTTACTGTGCAACGCTGGCCATTTATGTGTACCAGGTGGGTCCTCATTCATATATATATACAAGTACAGTACATTGTAAATAGAACTGTTACAATAATAAAATAAAATTAGAATTCAGCACATCTTTGCTACCTGATAAAAAAGTTTTAGAAAGTTACAATAAATATGATAATCATGACAAAGCACATTTCACATCATTACACGTGTAGTTGAGGTATGTGTACATAAAAAAATTTTAATGCACCTGTGCATTTCTGTGAGAGCGCCAATTTACAGCTTTTCTGGGTTGTCAGTGTGGCTGTGGCACAATGATGTTGATAGTTCTAATGAATTAGCAATAATTAGCTCCAATGTATGTGTACTGTTTGTGTACAAATACATGCCAGCTTAGTAGTATAGGGCATGTACTTTAAATAACAGGAGCGAAGTCCAATTCATTTGAAGTCCTTCCCAAAAGGGAACACGAAAAAGATTTACAAAATGAAGTAAGAAGAGTGTACATGTAAATGTACATGTATGATATACACTCTGAGATGAACATACATGTACATGTACTCTCTTTCCGTACATGTATATTCATGAAGGTTGGACTGCCTCTAAAGTTGAGCGTGATGATACAGATTATTAATGTGCAACTACCAAATCCATTATCACTCCACCTTTCAAGCACACAGGTGCCTGCACTTTGCATGCCCTATGGAACTATCAGTATTCTGGTACGTGCATGTATTGCTGCAAGTGTAAGATTGCCACAATAACTGTGGCGTTGTGTTAAAAGTAAGCTCCCCTGTCGGTACAGACTTGGTACTTGTACATGTACCTTTGAATCCCAGGAGTGGTGGTATCAGTTGTTGGCCATATGGAAAAAAAGTTAAGGTCATGCAGGGACAATGGCAACTCTTGGTCTGTATAATGTGGGGTTGCTAGGAGACAACAAACATTGGTGGAGATGCGTGCCCAGCAATTTGATGCTTGCATGCGCTACTGTACATGTACTGACCGGTTTTGTATTATATTTATTGATTGTCGGACTTACGTATGATATGATGAAGGTTGATGAGTATAGTGAAGAGTCGACCTTTCTAGGTAGCAACCAATGAAGACACATGTACATTACATATATGATAGAGTGTAATTGATCAAGGTGACCCATTGCCTGGAAAAATTGCTCTTGCACTCAGAATAAGTTGCTTTCGAGTGTTCTCAGACATAATTGTTGACTGTACACAGTATTATCTGTGCTTCTGTAATATTCTCATGTTGTACAAACAAGTACAAATTATCTCTTGCAATTACATGTATGTACATGTAGGATATGAATCAGCATATTATCAAAAGCCGAAGTCGAAGCTACATGTATAATCATTTTTGCTTTTCCACTCACTGTTTTGATGCAGTGCTGAATTCGATTTTTTTTTCCTCACGCTGTTCTCAGGATTATGGCCAGAGTTTGTAATTTTGTAAATATTTGCCGTCTTTCATGTAACGTGCTTCAGTACATGTACATGTCTGAAAGTTTGTCGACTGTGTACAGTAGACATACATACACCAGGGCTGAATTTATTTAGTTTCACATGTAATACACAAACTTCTGCATCTCAAATGTTATCACTGGAGACCTATTTTTCTATTGAATGCTAACTCTTTGTACTTGTACACCTGTAAACACCAATTAGGATATAAAGACTCATGTTGTAGCAAAGAGGTTGAATTTGAGCTGTTGTAGGATACATTTGTTTTGTGTGAATCTGATTGTAAATGTGACATGTTATGTGTAAACGGCAAACTTGTAGTAAGTTTATAATCTTAAAGGCAAGCTGTAAAAGCCCTGTCCACGTACCGGTATTGACAAAATTTTGAAAACTATTTTCAGCATCCTGATAATACTTTTCCCAAATGCAGTGTACCAGTAGTTATCTGCAAGAATTGGGAACCTTTAACAACCTTAGGAGAGCTTTTGGTCAATTATTGGCTCCACACTTGAATGTTCAGCTGAATTTTAAGTCGGAGTTCTTTAGCACAGGGCCTCTCACCCTGGCAGGCGAGAGAAAAATGCCCAGGGCGATCCTTTGCATTATTTTGGCAAAGCCTTTTACGTGAATGATCAGTTAAATTGGATTCAGCAGTAGAGCCTTCTGTGTGTGCACCAGGGACCCCACAGTATGCAGCTGTACACACTAAAGTCTTTGGATGTACCGACCGGTACCCACACACTACAGTTTGGTGTGTATAAAACTGTGTAGCATAGCAACCACCAACTGTCTTGAGCTGAATGTCTTTCTGTTTTAAATTATCCCTGCGTGGAAAATGTGTCATCTTAATTGCACGGCCTTGAATTTGGCTTTGAAAAATTAACATCTGAATCCAACAACCGGAACGGTACATGTACAAAACTGTGAGGGGAGGGAAATTATACATGTATGTACATGTACATGTAACTTGTAGTGTCTAATATCATGTACTGTACATCCTATACATGTACGTACGCTACAGTGTACCTGGATCTGGCATTTTATTTTTTTTTCGCTGTAAATAAAAAAAAATGAAGGGGGGGGGGGAAAACTGACAAAATGGATCCCCAGTATGTCCTCGGAGCACAGTCTGATCGCCGTTGCCAACATGTATTTGCTTTTCATAGCTGAGCAAATCATATTCTGTAGCATGTGTTTGTTCGTCCAGCATGCATCTATTGTTGGTTGGACTTGTGCATCAGTCAGTCCTATGTGTACGTGCACTGTAGCTGAGAAATCGTTTGGGCAAGTGCAACCACACTATTTGCATACATGTACAGGTACACACGTACCGAGACTTGCGGCGTGTCATCCAAATTCTTGTAAATGCTTATCCCACTTTCTTGTACACCATTCTTCTGGTACATGTATGCTTTTAAGTAGTTCAAAAACAGATATCAAAGCAATTTATCACTG